GATCAAATTAAGGTAAGCAAAATTCCTCAGAAAACCATGAAAGTGATAGCTCTAAGAGACCCACATTGATTTATAGATTACTATAATATTATTACTAATAAAATTCAAATACAATGATAGAATTGTGAAATAAGAAATTTCTTATTATATAAAAAGTTTTTCTAATATTTCTTTAATAAGAGAATGATTAACAATATATTAGATCTTTTACTTTTTAAAGTTCTCTAGCTATAAGTAAAAAAAAAAAATAAATAAATAAAAAAATAAATATTGCTTAACTTATTAAAATAATAAAAAGATAAGTTTCATAGAAAAGAATAATATACAAAAGAATAGAGATAAAAAATAATTCATGAAAATATTTTTTCAATTTGATTTAAAGAAAGTGAAAAGATATTTTCATGAAAATATTTTTCAGGTTGATTTAAAAAAAGTGAAAAGATATCATTAGTCAAAGCTTTTTAGATGTTAGCGAAAAATCTCAACAATTTGTAATTTTTTTCAATTAGAATTTGAAGAAAAAACATAACACTTTGAACAGGTATTAATTAATTAATTACGAGTTTTCAATGGGTTTCACAAAACTCGCATTTCATGGAGTAAGGACAATCTATAATATTGTTATACTCTCTTTCGCCGATAAATTCCTAACTTTCAGACGAATTGAATTATTGAGGATATCAATTGATTATCACTTTTATACGTGATACGTGCGCATACGGCTAAGAATTCTCACAGTTTTGCAAAGTTCGTAAAAACACAAAATATAATCATGTATTGCATGCGCTGGTTCATTCCGCTGCTCCTCCTTCCTTTTCCAAACGCTCCTCCGTTTTTCGTACTCACTTTTCTGGTATCATACTTCCTGCATCAGAGGCCATGGTAAAGACCAACTCATTCATTCAACTAGTCAACCTTTTATTGATGTTGCCATCCTAACCTTTCAAACTTTTGCATAAATAAGCGTGTATTGTACAATACTACTCCTCGCACTATTTTCAAGCACGTGTTATTGGGGACAAGGTCGTTGTTGGCTAGACACAAACCACGGTCACTTTCTGGAATCAAGATCGATTCATTCGTTGACTTCAGCGTCGTCGCCAAACGAAATGGCCGGTGGAAACCTGTTAGATTCAAAATCGGGAGTTGCAAATTGAAATAGAGGACTTTGATCTAATATTAGGAGTGGAAAAAAAAATGGCGGCTTCTGTTCGCCTCATCTGTCGGGAAAAGAACAATTTTCATAATCTCGTATACTCTATTAAATCTCAATGTTGGATCTTCGATTTTCCAGTTTATTTACATTGTATATATAATAACCTTTTCATGATTCGTGAATTAGTTGTAGAATTAACTTTACGCGATTAATTTTCCGGATCAATATTTTAACATTCACTGATTTAATTTTACAAAGTCGAAAGAATAAAATCAAGAATTAGAAAAGTGACTAATAATTTTATATCTATGATAAAAGTTGTGATTGTAAAAACAAATCCACACCAACTTGATTACGTTTTATCAATTCGAATCACCAATCACTTGATCGAATTATTGAAGTGGTTCGTCGCTGTTTGAAATTCTGTTTAAGTGAAGGTACACATCTGTTCCAAATCTAAAGATATTTATTTGGTTATTGACGAAAGTATCAAAAGTACCAGCAGGATACCAGCAAATTCGACCTACCCCTCCATCGAAATTAGCTTCAAATCGCCACCAAAGTATCTCGCGTACTGCGTTTCGTTTATCGAAAGCACGGGTTTTCAAATTTGATTTTATAAATAAATGCTCAGGTAAAAGATTCATTGATCAAAAAGAACACAGGCCTACCAGTCTACTGATGGGTAGTCCGTAACCGAAACCGGCCATAGGCGCTCTGAAGTATGGTTGGTCAAACTCTGGATCCAACTTTTTTGCTTCGGCTGTCGTATACATGTATGTCCATACGAGGGGAATGTTCTTTCGTGGAATTCCACCGCCTTCATCAGATATTTTAATCGTAATATCCTGAAAAAGTGAAAGAATTCTCAAGTAAAGATCTAATATCAATGGATCTAAAGTCGTTTTAATAGGAAAGTGCGAAACTAATATCACTTCATTACCTCTTTTCCCTCGGCGACAATCACCTTGATCGGAGGATGTGCATCAACCTCACTGCCAAAGAATTCAACGATAGCACGCAAGCTGTTCTTTAACAACTCGAACAACATGTGACTCAAATGTGATGGTACGTAAGTGAATATTAAATCGTCGGGGCAATGTAGTTGAATTTCGGGCGCACGGAAAAGACCATAATAGTCTTCACATATGTTTTTAGCATTTTCTGCCGCTTCCTGAACAGTTTGGGCGATGTTCGTTTTCGTGCAAATGATGCCAACATAATCTTGCAACGAGGGGAACCGATTCAGCGCGACATGCTGACCTTCAAAATTTCATCCAAAACTTTAGATTTTTTATCACGAAAAAGTATAAATAGATTGATAAATGTTAAGAGTCGAAACCAACCGATAAGCATGCGAATACCAATACGCGACATGTAAAAACGGTCCAAGAATGCTTGAATGTCGGTATCTATCAACTCCGATGACTTATTCTGCTTGTATTCGCGGATTCCCTGAGCTAAATTTTGTGAAAGTGAAACTCAACGTGAATAATGTTAAATGACGTAAAGTTGAAATGCCTGTTGAAACGGCGTCTCCTTACCCTACAAAATTATTAAAAGTTATTCGAAGTGTGATGAACCTTTGTGAAATGTAATTACCAAAGGTATAATATTGAGTAACATACCACTGTGGTTACAACCGGATCATGTCGCTTCTTAATATTTTCAATTAATTTCGTAAATCTCTCGTTATAAACGCGAACTTCGGGTGGCCAATTCATGTCTTCGACGTTTGCATAATACCTGCACATAAAAAACGCGTCATTGTAACTTTCAGGACTCAACATGTACTTGATAAATTAATTACCTGTGATGGAGAGGAACCGATGGTCGAGGTGTTCCTGGCTTTTGACTGACCGCCAAATTAGGCTCACTTTCGGGTAGCTTTGCAATTTCCACAGAGTCTCCCGAAAGCTTTTCCCTTACGCCAGGTGAAAACTCGGGTTTTTCGAGCGATACAAGCTCCTAATGTGGTTTTTTGTTTTAGTTTTAAAGAAAAAAGAAAAAGTTCGAGCAATCACGAAAAAGAAAAAAATTTTGTTTTCTTTTTGTCATACATTACCTCAAAGGACTGGGCATACCAGTTTTTGACTTTAATTATCGATGGCATCTCACTCAAATTATGAGGTAATTCGTCCAATTCTTTGACCCTGTGTGCGAGGCGAATCGGGAGCTCATCTGTTTGGATGTAAAGGTTATTGTTCAAACCTTCTATGTGGGAAATTGAAGGTAAATATTCGAAGTTTCCCGCACCTGCCAAAAATTGTGTCGCCCTCAGCAACGTTCCTTGAGAAGGATTTTGTCCTGTGACAAGTAAAGCAAGTTAGTGAGATGCTTAAGAAAAACGTCAGTGTGAACACGCGCACCAAATTTGACCATCTGCCGTAGTGACACGCCGGTTTGTGGGAATCGTGTAAAATATTTAATTTTTTCTTGAAGTTGTGGAGTGATTCTGTATGCCATATTTTTGATTTGTTGTTATAGAGTCTTCGCGAAATTTCTTTCGAATTAAGCATTAAGTAATAAAGGGTACTTGGAAAAAAAATGAAAAAAAAGAAAAAAAAAAAAAATTTTTTTTTTTTTTTTTTCCGAATTTGTCGACCCGACAAAATAAAGGAGAAAACAAAGTGCCGGAAGCTAATTTAGAAGTTGCAGTTGTCTCGACAATACAGGAATCTAATTTATTTGATCTTTGATTGATCTGTTTGATCCATTTGAGTTGATTGTCATGTGATTTACAATGTTTACGGTTAAATATGCACGATCATCTATTTTTAATTGTGAGGCTTCCATAACAAGTTAGAAACCTCGAATACATGAAGAGACCTTTAAATAACAATTTCCCCTTCTATTATTCGATGATCCAATCCTAATTTTTCTAGGCAGGTGTAGTATCTTTCCAAACTCTCTTGTTTCAGATACTTGAGAATTTTTTGCCGCTTGTGAACCATTGAACGTAAATTACGATAATTATGTTTATCTTTATGATTAGCTTTAATATGTTCATTGAGGTTTAGAATTCGTACGGTCCATATTGCGGCTAAAATAAATACATGAATTGATGATTACGTCACATGAATCTTTAGCGAAACGGAACTTTTTAGCATACAAACGTTGACCCACCTTGAACCTCCGCGCTTCCCGTGTCGTTTGGATGCCTCCCAAACTCCGCTACCGCCCTCCCGATGTTGTAAGTCATGATGGAATGTGAATTGGAATTGTGCAAGCCGATCAGGGCTTTCAACATCTTTTCTTTTTCCAATTCGGGATCTCTCGACGTCTCTCTTTCTAATTCAGAATCTTCCGGCTGTTGCTTTTGTCTTTTCAAGATTCGCGGCAATTTTTTAAAAACCACTTCTTCGTCGCTTGTATCTATTGAATAGTTGTTGAATTGAGGAAGAACGAGATTGGTCGCTGCTTTGTAAACTTCCAAAGGTCTAAGTAAAGAGCTCGTGAATTCCGTTTTAATCCCTTCAATAGGATCCGACATCGAATCTTTCTCTTCCTCTAACCTAGCCAGCTTTTTGGCAAGATTTCTCTTCTTTATTTCTTTTGGTGACCTTTTTAATGCCGGTATTGTTGTGTGAAAGAAGCGTCCTTGGGAATTGGTTCAAAGTTAACGACTTTAATTTGAATTTAAACCGAAAATCTACTGATTGATCACCTCTCATTACCTTCTGCCGGCGCCGAGAAAGAAGCTGTGACAGAGGATAGACGTCTCACGTAACGGGAATACATAAATAGAATATATTGTATATCCTGACGAGTGTGCGTTTTAGTTTACATAAGTATGAAGAGTTATATTTTCTGTTGCCTTGTTTGATAATCGGTTTATTGACCAATCAGATATGACGGATAGTCGTCAAAAAAACGATATTGTACATGATAAATAATCAAACATTTTGAGATATTAGATCATTCTCATTCTTATCTATGACCTTTAAAAAATATTTTGGATCTAAGAATCCATCAATCCCCGAGGTCAGTATTACATCGTTTTCCGATCGATAGAACTCGATCCCATCTTAAAAAAAAAAAGATAATAAAACGTGCGTTCTTTAGCAAATGTGATGTGTTGGCGGTCAGAAAAGGCAACCGATCAATGCACGCGAACCTTCCATCGCTTTCGAAACATTTATGTAGATGAACAAATCACAATTTCTTCTCATGCCTAAAGTATATACATACACGTATATATATATATATATATATGTATTTGAGAAGAGTGAGTGATATTCTCGAACCAGTGACGCTCGAGCATAATATCTGCACTTACCGCTTTTAACACCTGGATCACCGTATCTTCCCGCCGCACAATGAATGTGATTACGTTTCATCTTGGAAAGTCCTTTCGACTCTACATCACACGCAATATATTATGAGTAATATTGTAAAGATGAAATAACATATGGAGGAGATGCAAAGATGAAATAGAAGCCATCTATTGACGTCTAACCGCATTATCCCACCACCGTCAATAACTTACTTATACTTTCCCAATTACGTAAATAAGTCCCATGTATTATCTCAGGTATTTGAGTTGGATCTGTGATTTTTTCAAGTTCCAATTCTTTTACCTTGATCATCGTCATACCCTTTAATTCCATTTAAAAAAAAAAAAAAACCCATCGTAAAATTATAATATTAAAAAATATTATACCTCGATGGAATGTCCCTGATTTGCTCGTATCAGCCATACAGGGACACCGTCCTGTATTTCTTGGATTAAAGTAAATCGTTGTTTGTCATTATTATCGACAACAAACTGAATATCTTTAAAAGTCTTTCCAGCGAACTTTGGGTGTCCCATCTGATGTATAAATGAACCGTTAAAAACTGTGAAGACCGCGAGGAAAAAATCCGAGACTTTTAATCATACCAATTCTTCCACATTAACATATCCATCATCACGAATCTTAATGCCTTCTTTTAGTGCACTGTGACGAAGGATATTGGATAACAATTTTGATAGCCGAACGTGAGGAGGATTATCTCGATTCCGCCTTCTTGATGACATCGTACAAACAGAGTTTGGCAAAGTAAGGTGGGTGTTATATTGGTTTTTTAATGTCACACGCCAACACGTGATCAATGCATATATAATGGTGTGGTTTTCTATTGCTTGTACATACCGCATTTCCCATGACGAACCAACAAAGATCAACGTATCCGGCAAATAACCTTGCTCCATTACCACCTCCACTGAAAAGTAATGTTGGACCTTTGTACAATCGTGAACATGTTTTTGAGCGAGAAACTTACAATTCCGCTTTTTCACACGACCGTGAATACTTTCACAGAGATAGAAAAGTAGGATATCAAGATCAACGACAAAATCATTATGGTGGAGGTGGGAGGGGTCGTTATTACCGGGGACACAACCAGAAGAATTGGGGTGATGATCGAGGACACTTGAGAAACGGTTGGCAAGGTACAGCGCATAATGATCACCACAGGTCACGGAATTATAGGTCACCTCCAAAGGTAATGGTTTGTCTTGGTTTCTACTTCGCTTCATCGATTTTTATCGAGTTAATAACCCTTTTTTCTCTTAAAAGAAACTTTGGGTTGTCGACATGGGAAATAGCATTGTGCAGCCGGACATAAATCGATATTTCAAAGAATCATTCTTGACGGATCCATGGGCTCATTTGATTTAACCAAATCGACAAAAATTTGTGGAGCTCTTCAGATAAATCTATACGTAGTTCATGAATCATTTATTATTATTAATACCTGTACACTAATGGGACGCAAATATCAGTGCATACCATCTCGCCAAATTTCTCTTTGAGGGTTACTTATTTGTCCAAAGTAAATAATCTTTCTTTTTTTATTGTAAAAATTAAGGATGTGTACTAACCAGTTTCCTTGTATACGTAAAAAAGTTATAAAACTTCATAAAACATATGCGAGTCAAAATCATTTTATAAATTAAATCAAAGGCTTTAAACTTTAATATTCCGAGAATATTTCTGATATTGACACAAGTTGTATAACTTTGAACCATTTGATTTTATGGATATTATTGGTGGCAAAGTTAAATCATGAAAAGAAAAAAATACAGGAGTACTATATAAAAATAAAAAATTTAATGCTACTATTTTTCAAATAATTTATTCTTGAATACTTCTTTAATTATTATAAACTGCTTTTTTAATTTCTTCTTTGAAAATTGTTCTTTTAAAAACAATTCCACTTGAACACACCAGTCAAATATAAATTTGATCATATTTTGGCAACGATGACAGGACCTTGCTCTTCAAAAAAGATATTTGGGACAGGATTAATCTTTCTTGAAAGGATATTGGAATAAATAACAACTTTGATAACTGGATTCCAAAACCACCATCAGATTTTGCAACCACTTATCCTAAATACTCTTTTGAAACTTCTTCTTCTTCTTTTTCAATCCACTCTTTGGATACTTCTATTTACAACCAATATAGTCAATCCATTTTTCTCCACTACTTTATAATTTAGCAATAGATAATATTTTTCAAGACCCTTGGGATCAAGCAGACCATCCATACAACTTGAATCAATCTTGGAACAGGTATCCTCCACCAGGCCAGAATGATGATGAGGAAAGTAATGGGTAGAAGAAGTGCAATAACAACTATCAGAATAACAGGGAGGATAAACAGCAACCACTACCATATAGGAATAGGCCCAGCCAAAGGAAAAGGAATGAGCAAAGGGAGGAGTGACAAAATCAACTTATATATGATTATGGCAAAATAATAATCAAAATTTCATCAATGTATTGTGACAACTCTCTGAATCAATTGCTGGAATGAATGCTTCAAGGAACAATAACCAAAGGAAAACAAAGCTGGTGACCTACCAATTTTCAAAGGAGAGGAACAGGATCCTCTTACTTGGCTCAATGAATTTGATAAAGGATGCAGGGCAAATTGCATCAATGAACTTCGCAAATTTGAAATACTTCCCTCTTATCTCAAAGGAATTGCACAC